CGCCTCTCTCAGAGCTTAGCTCTGAGAAATTCAGAGACCCGAGAATCAAGCAAAATAATACATGTTAGTCTAAATAAATGAAATAAACAGTATGCAAGCAGAATGACAAACATACAGAACAAACCTGTGAGGCCATCGAGGTTTCTAAGTAATGCGGAGTACGGAGCAGACGACTAGAGAGTTTTTAAAAGTTAGCACGTGGGACACCTGGGTGGCTCAGATGGTTAAGCATCTGCCTTCAGCTCAGGTCATGATCCTGGGGTCCTGGGATCCAGGCCCGCATCGGGCTCCCTGCTCAGCGAGGGGCCTGCTCCTCCCTCTCCCCCTGCTCATGCTCTCTCTCTGTATCTCTGTGTCTCAAATGAATAAATAAAATCTTAAAAAAAAAAAAAGTCAGCATGGAAGTGTGAAAGACTGGCTTTTAACGGTCTTGGTTCTTGAAAATTCACAGGTTAGCTGTTTGTTTTTATATCAGTTATGGAGGAAATATTCAGGAAAAAAAAAAAAGTCCTCTTAACAAATCTTTGAAATGTGAGGTCAAAAGTCTTTGTATGCTTTTGTGTTTCAGGTATTAAGTCTGCTCCATTAAAAAAGGACAGCCTTCCACTCAGTAAAGTGCTATAACCCAAAAGTGCAAGATCAGAATCACTGAGGAAGAGAGCCACCAAGCGAAAGGTTTTTATCTCAAAAGCCATGACCAGTAAGACATTCAGCTGTAGCCCTGTCAGGCAACCCACTCGGGCTTCTAGCCCAATCCCCGCAGGACTGGGCATGCTATCCCCAAGGCTCCTGTTCAACTGAGTGTCAGGAAGGACAGTAGCAAACCGCTTCTTGCCAAACCCCGACAGGACTGTGCGTGTGTGTGTGTTTAATAATGTCAGAGTTCTGAGACTTTTTTCACTTACTGGACACAAGTTTAGGGGTGTTAACTGCAACCCATCACTTTAAAAGATAAGTGTAATTTTCTAATCACGGGTAGGGGATTTTGAAACCCCGCAACTCTAAAAACACAAGAGCTGAGGGTGGGCGAGGCTTCCGGGTCCTAGCGAGTTGGAACGCCGTCTCTGAGAAATCTCAGCACTCCAGGATCAACTTAGCCAGCCAGGCAGGCTCCCTGGCCCGGGAGAGACCAATGACTCAGCCGAACAAGCCAGGGACTCTGTCTTTACTTTGCCATAGCCTAGCTGCTGGACGTCAGCCAAATCACGTAGCTTCGGGGATCCCAAAAGGTCTCCCCAACGGAGATGACCATCAGTGATAACAGAGGGTCAGAACGAAATTACACCCAAGCCACACACCGGTGCTTATAAGGGCCAAGGCACTAGGCACCCGGAAACTCCCTGGCTGAGTCCCCGCTGCAATCTCCCTCCACCTCTGGGGGTGCAGACGCACTCCCGTGTGTGGGAGACCATTTCCTTTTCTGGAATATTTCTCCCTTTATTGATCCAAGTCTACCATTAGTCTATGAACAGAGTAAGCTCCTCCTGTGGGCTGAGCCCTGGGCCAAGAGCTGATGGTACCGTTGCGAACGCAATGTCACTGTGGACCTGGGCATGTGATGGGCTGTCGCCTGCGCCCTTCATCCTGGGGTGAAGAACCTGAAGCCCAAGAAACCCGAGTAGAAGTCCGAACTTGAACCAACACGTTCTGCCTCAACGTCAGTGCCCTTTGAATTAACCTCCAAGCTGCCTTCCTGGAGCAGTTCTCTTCCAAGAATTCAAAACAATCCTCCTGTGGGCTAAGCTGATGCTACTGTTGCGAATGCAAGGCTGGCCCCTCCTCCTGTGTTTGCTCCAAAGAAACATGGCTCCCAGCAACAGAGGTCACATCGGTACCTGACCTCGGCCAGCATGAGTCAGAGTGGAGGCCCAGGGGACGGACAAGAGTCCGCAAGGCAAGGGAAGAAAGGGAAGGATGGCCAGGCTCAGAGCAGCAGGGCCTTTAGATCCTGTTAGAGATGTTGATGTTACCTGTGTGGTCGGGTCTGAAAGGGTATCACTTGGAGTCCTGAGGAACTTGTGGGATTGCCCTTCTACACGACACCTTTTAAGTCTTTCACGGAATCACAGAATGCTTTGGGTGAAGGGGCTGGAGCTCCTACTTGTTCTCCGAGGTCCGATGCACACCAGCCCCCAGCGAATCCCTCCCCTTGGTGCTCCCTCTGCACTCCATCCAAGCTGCAGGTCGGTGAGGTGTCTCCATGACCGTGTCCCCTGCCGGTCGGAAGACACCTCTGAGGTGAAAGCTGAATCTTAAGTCACTGTGGACCTGGACGCGGGATGGGCTGTCGCCTGCACCTTTCATCTCTGGGGTGAAGAACCTGAAGCCCAGGGAACGCGAGTAGAAGTCTGAACTTGAACCAACACGTTCTGACTCAAGGTCAGTGCCCTTTGAATTAACCTCCAAGCTGCCTTCCTGGAGCAATTTTCTTCCAAGAATTCAAAACAATCAACAAGCAGGGACATAAAAGGCAGCCCTCGTTTGCACTGTGCCTGCTTTTCCCCTAGATTAAACATTCCTGTGGTCTCAACCAGTCCTCATAGGACACAGTCTCGGGGTGGGGGGAGGGTGTCTCTTCATCGTCAGGGTCACCCTCGTCTGAATCCACTCCACACTTACAGTGAGGCCACGGGGCGGAACACAATGTCCTGAGTGTGACCCACCCAGGAGACAATGCAAACCCTTGACCACCCCTTCATTCTTGGTCAGGGCTCAGCAAGCTCTCTGTACCGCGTCAGAGAGAAAGTATGTTAGGCTCCCCAGCCATCTGGTCTCTGTCCCAAGTTCTCAAATTGGCCCTGACTAAAAGCAAGTATGAGACAGTGTGCAGTGGGGCTGTGTTCCAAGAAAACTTATTTACAGACACTGAAGTCCGAATTTCATATAAGTTTCACATGTGAGGAAACGGTATTCTTTTGATTTTTCTCCCCCCAACCATTAAAAAAAATGTCAAAACCATTCTTAGGTGGCCGACCATCTAAACACTGAGTGGTGCCAGATTCAGCCCAGGGACTGTGCTTTGCCAAACCCTGTTCTAGATGATTCACTCAAAGGATGCATACAGCCTGAGATTGTATTAGTTAGTATTGCATACCTGCGAAAGAAAAAGCCGTCAGCTCGCATTAAGCCTGCCATCAACGTAAAGCCCTTTAGACCTGTTGCTGGAGTATGTCTCCCCAGCCTCTGAAGGGAGAGACACAGACTGGCGCTTTCATCCCACCCTTCTCGGATTTCCAGCTGGAAGGGCTTTCCTGGAGACTTTGCTCAGGCCTCGGCCCCAGCCCTCTCTCACTTGACTCTTTCCCGAGGGAAAGCGGCTGGTCTGAGGGCAGGTTTGGAAGAACCCACTCAGCTTGGCCCCTCCTCCCTTGCTGGCAGAGAGGTGCCCTTGGGCCTAACCTTTTAGAGGTGAGCTCACTTCGGGCATTGCTCAGCTAGCCAATCTGGCCACACAACTAGGACGTGTGGGTTTTTTCACTGAGCTGACATTTAAAAAGTCTCTGACTCTGGGGCACTGGGGTGGTGCAGTCAGACGCTCGACTCTTGATTTCAGCTCAGGTGGTGATCTCGGGGTTTTGAGGTCGAGCCCCACGTGGGGCTCTGTGCTGGTGCCTGCTTGAGATTCTCTCTCCCTCTCCCTCTGCCCCTCCTGCTCGTGCACGTGCTCGCTCTCTGTCTCTCTCTCAAATAAATAAATCTTTTAAAAAATTTAAAAAATAAAAATAAAATTCTCTGACTCCCATGGCTACCTTTCAGGTTCAGAACCTGGGAAGGGAAGCAAGGAGGTCATCACGCGTGCAGGTTCTGTGCTTGAGACCCTGGAGCTGACACGTGTCCCCACTAAACTTCGTGTTCTTGGACCTGGTTCACTGCCCGCCAGGACTTTGGTGGCGCTCTCTCAACTCTTAGACCTTTAAAGATTAAGCCTGTCTTCCACCTCCCAATACAAATCATTTATGAAATGTGACCGAGAGAACTAAAGGTACACTCAGATGAAGCACTCTTCGTTTCTGCCCTGCGGTGATTTTTCCATTAATCAGACCCATTTGGGCTCTGTCACTAATGGTTACTAATCCTTCTAATTGGCTTCCCTTCCCCAAATCATTTCCCACTCTGTAGCCAGTGGTATTTTTTCTTTGTTTGGGTTTTTTTGTTTTTGTTTTTGTTGCTTTTTTACATTCAATGGGTGTATCATCTCCTATTTAAAAATCTTTCTGGCTTTTCTTATTATTTTTGGTTTTTTCTTTTTTTTTTTTTTTTAAGATTTCATTTATTTATTTGACACAGAGAGCACAGGCGGGGGAGCAGCAGGCAGAGGGAGAAGCAGGCTCCCTACTGAGTAAAGAGCCCGATGTGGGGCTCGATCCCAGGACCCTGGGGTCATGACCTGGGCGGAAGGCAGACGCTTCACCGACTGAGCCACGCAGGTGCCCCTGGTTTTCTTACTTGTAGGAAAGACTCAAATCCTAGCAGCCAGTGAAGTGAGCTGGAAAAGCCTCTAAAGGTGTGAGAGAGGTAATGGTGCATCACCTTCCTATTGCCCCATCCTAACCAGAAACCACGCAGAGCCGGTTCCTCTGGAACCAGGAACCAGCCACATCATATAACCCACAACTCCTAGGAACCAACTGAGAAGTTGAGGTGGGCCCACCCCTGATGGCGGCACAAAGCGGAACCTCCCCGGGCTCCTGGCGTCTTCCTCCTCTCTCCTCTCACGGACCCATGCACCTCTATGTGGTCCTTTAGCTCTGCTCTCCGGGAAAAGAAACCAGTGGCTTCCAAAACTCTCATCAAACACTGCAGACACTGTACTCGAGGTCTCTGGACAGCAGCATCACTACCGCCTGGGCACTTAGGGATATAGATCCGCGGGCCCCAAGGAAGCAGCGTCTGTGTTCTGCAAGATCCCCAGCCACCCACTCGCACGCCCACGCCTGAGGGGCCCTGGGATGGAGCCGATCTCCGTTGCCCTGGGTCCACCTGTGCATTTTCTGACTTACTGGTTAAGTTCCCAGGTGATTCCGATGTACCGGCAGCGCTGAGACAGGCCACCGCGGAGTACGGGTTTCCTCTGCCCTGGGCCCTTTTGTTATCTCAAATAATATACCATCACATGCCAAGTAATCTCCGAAATTCCTCTCAGGAGAAATCATGCCAGCTAAAGTCTCACTGGTCACGCCCTCCAACCACAGGGAGCGTTGCCTGTTTTGTGCCTCTTTCCCTTCGGCCAGTAGGAGGGGCGACGTCTTACCAGCCAGTGGTGTCTCAGCGGCTGAGGGCTATGTCTGTCTAAGAAGGGACTTGGCTGAAGTTCATAATAAAGGAATCCAAGTATTCCTGTGGCCTCCAGCAAGGGTGACCAAGCAATCCTGGCCTGCCTGGGACTCTCCCAATTTTAGCAGTAAAAGTTCCATGTCCCGGGACAATGTCGTGCCAGACAGGCCGCCGCCGACGGTCGCCCTCCCTCCAGAGCCCCACGCAGGCTGACCCTAATTCTTCCCTCTTCTCTCCCCGCTGCCTCTTGCTCAAGAGGACTGGCTGTCAGTTCCTCCCTGAGCACCCACACCGGCCTCCCGCCTGAGTTCTTTCTTCTGCCTGTAACACCCTCCACTCTACTCAGTCTCCAGCTATCAGCTCCAAGGTCACTTCCTGGGGCAAAGCCTCTGACCCGTTCCCCCCGCCCCCCCCGCCCCCAGGCTTGCTCAAGTCCCCATTACTCGCTGGGCACACCGTGTCCCTTCCCTTCACAGCACTTAGCACAGTTTACACAACCACGTTTGTGTTTGATCAGGGTCTGTCTCCCCACATAGGTATACGTCTTAAGGACTGGGATTGTGTCTGTTTGCGCTTGGCTTCCTCGGTGCCTAGGCACAGAGTAGACGGTTAATAAATACTTGTTGAATAAGTAAAATGAATCCACGTAATCAGGATCCAGGCCTTGTGTCTCCAAGACAGACACTGCCGGCTTCCCTCAGTATCCATTCTCTCTTCTTCCAGAGAACTAGAGTCCTGACTTTACCAGGATGCACGGCTACCCGAACAAAGACTACGTTCCATCCTCCCTAGGTGCTGGGTGGAGCTGCACGAGTGAATTCTGCGTAAGCAGCATTATGTGCAATTTTCAGAGCGGGGTGTCTTCCCTGTTCTTCCTCCCTGCTCGCTAGAACGTGAGTGCGGTACCTGATGTCCGGCAGCCATCGTGAACCACGAAGGAGCTCGTCATGGGAGCCACGCATGGTGGACATGAAGTGAGGAGCTGGACCCCTGACACCATGGAGCCCATCCCAGCCCTGGAGAGCCACCTTTGAGCTGGAACATGAGAGAAATAAACTTGATGCACTTATTTGGGGTGGTTCTGTTATTCCGCCATACGGAATCCTAACGAAAAGCCTCTACCTTGTGGTCACCCTTCTCACTTGGAACACGACACCTGTCAGGAACAGTGAGCCACCAGTGTTTTCTCTTCCCTTAATGACACTCATGTACACACAAAGCAGGAAATGAGAACGTGAAGTGGTTCAAGGCAGAGGAATGAGCCAGCACCAGGGGCTCAGGGACCCGCAGTCTGGTCCTAGGGAGCTGAGCGACCCTGGCCCTCAGCTGCCTCCCCTAGCAACAGGCATAAGGAGGCCAGGCCCTCAGCTGCAAGGTCCCTTCCTCCACTAAAGGCCTCTTCACGGTAACTGGTTTCTGCATGGTGTCGAAGGAGTTCTCACACTGAGGCACAAGGCACAGGATTTTAAGTAGTTGTGAAACAACTGAAGTTCAACTACACTTAAAACATTACCCACAACTTGCACCACAGGAAAGATGCCCTGAACACACGCAGCAGTTACATGAGGCCGTGACAAGTGCCAGCAACAACTCCCACCGTTAGAAGTCCACGCTCACTTCTACAGATCTCTCACAGCGGGGCTTCCGTGGAGGGCGACCAGCTTCCAAAAACAGCAAGAATTTTTTTTTTTTAAAAAGGGACGGTGGAGGAGGAGCCTGGGAGGGAGGGAGAAGGAGAACCGCACCTTCAGAGGTTACAGGCTCCACATTTTGAATGAATCAACCGATGAGGCATAAATGGGAGAATACACTGGAATATTAAAGCATGAAGAACAAGACAGTGCAGGTCAACAGCAGCCTTGGCCGCACAATTCCCCTACCCTAACAGCCAGCTGAGTTTAACGAAAGTGACTTCAGCCAATACTTAGCAACCAAAGCAGAGGGAGACACCGTGGAGAACACTGGTCTCATAAACCCTCTCTCAGTTCGAGTGGCTTTTCTCTCTACTTGGGACTGCAGGGGAAGGAAACGATACGCCCAAGTCTGACACGGCTTCAGGTGCAGGGCCGAGGGACCCCGCAGTATTACCCTCATATCACCACTGGCTACAGCTGCTTTTCAAGAGAAGTGGTCAACTGCATCCTCAGCGGCAAACTGAACTCCAAGCTCATTTTTAAGTTGTTTTTTTTTTTAAGTTTTTTTTTTTTTAAAGATTTTATTTATTTATTTGAGCGAGAGAGAATGAGAGAGAGCACATGAGAGAGGGGAGGGTCAGAGGGAGAAGCAGACTCCCTGCCGAGCAGGAAGCCCGATGCGGGACTCGATCCAGGGACTCCAGGATCATGACCTGAGCTGAAGGCAGTCGCTTAACCAACTGAGCCACCCAGGCGCCCTCCAAGCTCATTTTTAAAGCGCCAAGTGAAATGCCAAAGAGCTGATCTGTCTGCTGGCATCAGGACCGTCCAGTCCTCTGTATCAGGATGGCGGCCGATTAGACGTAGCCCACAGCGCACGGGCTGGTCACCTCTTCCGCGTCTCTTTCCTGTCAGCTGTCCTGCTTCCTCTGGGGCATTTCGACCTGGCCCAGTGGCCCAGGACACACGACTTGGAAGACACAGAGCACTCACTTTTCCTGTCACTCTAGAGACCTCACGGGAAAGGTGAGGTCTTCCTGTCACAGGTCCACAGGTGTGGCCATGGTGCACCAGGCGTTATGTGAAGACCTAGGGGCCAGGTCTCTCTTTACCAGGCAAGAAGGAATTTAGTTCACTTCTCCTAAATTTGGGGGACTACGGACTCCAGGGCTGAGAGGAGAGACACAAGGTGTTCAAAGACCACTGCCTGATGAGCTCCCACCACCAGCTCCCTCACCCACCTCCACTGCGTTTGTACCCCCTGCAGCTGTCCCAGGCCTGGAGAGAGCAGGGCGTTCAAGTCCGCTGTACCCGGAACAAGAGAGGGCAGTGGGCTTCCCTCCTTTCGACAGTTAACCCTTGATGTGGAATCAGATTCCACCTCTCTCTGGATTGGGGAGGAGGGGGTCTCTTGAGGAACCAAATTCCAATTACATTACTTTTCCCTCTGCTAGAAGGCTAACCCTAATATTCATAAAAGCCAACTACAGGGCAAGCAGAGAGAGAGCTAATACGGTATTTTAAATTACCATATATCTACCATCCAACAATCCCACATAGCCTCAAAGTCATCGATACCTGGTTAAATCAACAACAAAAGGCTAACTGCTAAATTCTTAATTCAGAAATTCACGGAGCATAGCATTTTACGTGCTACGGTTTCTAAGATTTTTTTTTTAAGATTTTATTTATTTATCTGACAGAGAGAAAAGAGAGAGACAGAGAGAGAGCACAAGCAGGGGGAGCAGCAGAGGGAGAGGGAGAAGCAGGCTTTCTGCTGAGCAGGGAGCCCGAAGCAGGACTCGATCCCAGGACCCTGGGATCATGACCTGAGCCAAAGGCAGACGCTTAACCAACTGAGCCACCCAAGTGCTCTGGTTTCTAAGATTTTTGCTTATTACTTGAGAATCCCAGCAACAGTGCTACCAGACAACAGTCCTTAGTCTCCTAGAAATGAACATAAGCATTTTATCATCCTCTTATTTTAAACATGATGCCACCTGTCTCTTCTGGTTCCAATGAAATGAGAAAGTAGTAAAATGGGGTATAACCAGAACAAAAGATTACTGGCAAAAAAGCGCATAAACAAAACCTTTTCTCTGTTGATTTATTGTGAAATAACACTTATCTGTTCTTCCATTAAGTTAATTGCAAATCAATAAACATGTAAGCAACTCGATTCTGAGAGCATGCTGTTTTATTTTTTTTTTTTTTTAAAGATTTTATTTATTTATTTGAGAGAGAGAGAGAGAGAGCACATGAGAGCGGGGGAGGGTCAGAGGGAGAAGCAGACTCCCTGCTGAGCAGGGAGCCCGATGCAGGACTCGATCCCGGGACTCCAGGATCATGACCTGAGCCGAAGGCAGTCGCTTAACCAACTGAGCCACCCAGGCGCCCAAGCATGCTGTTTTAAGTAACTGCACATTTACCAGAGATTTCAAGTGGACAGAAGAAAAAGGTCAAATCCACGGGCCCAATAACTTACTCACTCCTCTCAAGATGATGCAGGGGCTTTCATAGCTAAGAAAAAGCAACCATGTATGTTGGAAGCTTTAGCTCGATCATGAAGACTTTCTCACAATCTCACTTCTTTTGTCCCCCAGACCTGTGAGTTACATGGAGCAACAGTGGGGTATTGAAATGATAACCCAACTTTAATTGGGAAGAACTGAAATGTGGGGAGGGAACCCGGACACCAGAGTGCTCTCAGGTATAATCCTGAACCGAGTTTCAGGAGACAGAAGAGGTGGATGGTGAAGAATCGGTTTTGGATGGAGCCACGCTGCCAGGCTTGAATCCTGGCCACCACTTACTAGCTGGAAACTTGGAGCAAATTCCGTCAGAGTGGTGGTTGTGAAGATTACCTAAGACTATCCGTGGGCTGTGTCTCCGTCGAATGCCCACTGTTTTCCGTGGCAAGGACAACTGTGGTGCTAGAGACACAGGAGACAGCACCCACCCACGCCAGGAAGCCAGGTGAAAGGTCATTTTCAAGTGCATAACTGTGCCAATCTGGGATTTCGACTCAGCTAAAGCACCTGCTACTAAACTTACATTGTGTTTGGCATCAAATCCATCTCACAGAAATGTAAAAGTATCAAAGTGGGGCAAACGGGCTGGCAAAAAATACCAACTACAGACCATTTGGTTTTAAACATTCTGTTGTGCATGTTTTTAATTGCAGCGTTGGGGTTTTGCTTAGTTTTTGTTCCTAAGCCCTCAAACTATCTTTTAAAGATGGAAAATATTTCTCTTGAAGATTACAACTAGCGCACAAAGAACCCCAGCTACTCACTCCTCTCCTCCTTGGCACCCACTGACCACTGCTAGCACCCCCTCCACCCATTGTTCAGGTCCTGGAGAGCAGAGTCTTTGACGGCTCTGGTTCTAGAAGAAGATCACAATTGGAAGCACCCCTTAGCAGTCCGTGTTGAGGAGGGAATGTATGAGCCCCACAATCCTCATCATTCTTCTTCCCATGGACCAGCTCTCTGGTCCTTAGCCATTCTGATTTGCCCACACTCCCTTTAAACACAGAAGTGCTCACCAGGTAAACTCACCTGTTTACCCAGTGTGGTACCTAGGACTGCCCAGGGGAACGGGGCAAAGACTGCATTTGGTGGATCAGAAACATCTGCTTTGTACATAAAGTCATCCTTGAA